GTGTAAAAATGTTTGTAGCTCAGTCAAGGAAGAAGAAATCAGTTTCTATCCAGTCTTCTGTCCTAGCTGTGCAATTAGAGTGTAGTCTGGTCTTTTGAAGATTCAAAACTATGAAAGGACACACACTCTGTGTGTACAAAGGTTGATGTTTTAGGTGAATTGTTTTCACAACATCCTATCTTACCGTTGAGCACAGCAGTAGACTCTTATTGAGCAGAACTATAACAACTTGAGTAAGTGGGCTTTGATAGGTCCTGCATGACTCTTTAAAAATGTGTTGTTATATATTGTTTTCAAGCTGTGGTAAACCTCACAGTTTTTTGAAACCCTTTTTGCAGCTGTATAACCCTCTGTGCTGTGAAGAGGCAGGCAGTGTACTTTGAGAGCAGACTAGCTTCTTCAGGCCCACCACTCCTGTCTCTGAAAGTTGGATTTTGTTTGGGTAAATTCATTAAACAGAGATCTGAAGGTAAACATCAAAGATGTGCTAAATCAGCGGTGAAAATTTCACATATCATATTTTATAATAATGTCCTTTCAGGGAACACATGACATTCACTAGCTCAGGTGGTGGTTAGTTTCATGATTGCGGAATGGAAGACAGGTCCTCAAGGCTTTATGTGACCTGTCGACCGCCTCTCAGGGACTTACTGCTCCTCGTGAGGCCTGTGGTTTTCAAGTGAAGTTGGATAGTCTAAGGAGCATACCTGCTGCCTGTATTTCTTTCTGGAGGCTGTGATTGTGGAAGTGCTTCTCATGATTTACCAGTAGATTTCCTTATCATCACTATGTGTTTTGGTTCTTTCTTGTAGAGCAAAGCCTTAAAGCATAGAAAGCAAACCAGAACAAAGAATCCTGTTATCTAAGGCAAGTCTCTCTCTCTCTCTCTCTCTGACTCTTAGAAAAATACTTCATGATAAACACACATACAAGTATGTGAATGGTAACTGAAAAAACATTGCTTCCTTCTAGAAAACCACTGGGATTTGCATAAACCTCTTGACTGATAAATGATTATTTGCTGTGTCAGTCTCTGGGGACTTTTAACTTTAGGTTTGTACTCATGTTTATAGAAAAGGAGAATTCTACATTTGAAACAGGTATTGTTAAACTCTTCAGATAATGACAGTTTATAAAACTGGATATTCCAAAGTCTTTTACAAAGTCAATAAAAACATCTCTTCTTATTGTAATAACAAACCACATAAGTGAAAAGCCTTGGAAAGATTTTGAATTTGTGCTGGCACAATCTTAATTGTTTGCCTTTAGTACTACTGAGATGTGTTAGGAGGCAGTACTCAAAATACTCCCATCTGAACATTGGGAAAGAAACTTAAAGGCATTTCTGTTATCACTCTGGAAGCATTCGCAAGAAGACGTTTACAGCTGGTTACCTCCGTTTGGTATTTGCTTGCAGAGGCAGATTACCAGAGATGGTTTGAGGAAAACATTGGTAAAAATCACTGATGGAATTTTGCTGGCCCCTGATTCTGGAAAAGCAGATTGACATTGAAATTCTTGTAGTTTAAGTACACGTCCTACTGAGAGTAAAATAATAGCCGCTGTTGAGTTTATTTGTCATTATTTATTACTGCAAGCATAATTTATTATGCTTTGCGTTGCTGAAGCCTGACTGTCTCACAGGTAAATTTGCATAAGCCGTAACGAATGCTTTTTCTGTTTTTTATTTTTTTTTTGAGTTGGAGTCTCACTCTGTCGCCCAGACTGGAGTGCAGTGGCCGCTCCCAGCCACTGCAGCCTCGACCTGCTGGGCTCCGGCGATCCTTCCACCTCAGCCTTCCAAGTAGCTGGAATTACAGGCGCGCGCTACCACAGCCGGCTGATTTTTTGATTTATTGTAGAGATGAGGTCTTGCTGCCCAGGTGGGTCTCGAACCCGCGGGCTCAGGCAGTCCATTCACCTCAGCCTCCCAAAGGCGCAGGATTACAGGCTGAGCCACCGAGCCTGGCGTGAATGCTTTTTCGTATAGCTAATTTTTAGGTACAAATAGCTTGAAATGGTTTATTTCATTTTAAGCTGGTACCCAGCTACATTTTAAATTTTCATTTAGTTCTGTATAACACTATGTTTTATCTGGGCTTGTGATACACGGGGAATTTTAATGATTTATCTTCAGGTAGCATCAGTTCAAAGTAGTATGAACACAGTCATAGCAGGTCTTTGGGTAAAGAAAGGACAGACTACCAAAGCTGATGCACATCATCTTCACCATGGCTAACATTTTTTGAGGGGCCATGTATACTCATTTAGTCTTTGTAGCAATCCTGTGAATTATGTTAGCTTCACAATTCTCTGCTAAAAACTCTTGGGATCAGAAGAGTTTCAGAACTCATAATTTTTTGGGTTTTAGAAAGGTAGTCAGTGCATATGCCATATAATACACAAAGTCTCTAGGAGCTCTGGGAAAGCACCTCATATACAAGCACGTTAGTATTTTATTAGAAATACTAATGCACATGCATAGTAACGGAATAGAATGAAGAAAAGCCCTGCATATGCTTATGGTAATTCAATCAGGTCTTGCCACCAAATGCACTTGGGCGTCATCCTATGAAAATATCTGTGCTTTTTTTCTGAGCTTTTTGGTAGTTTGGAATCGAGGTTAAGGTAAGGTAGACCTGTACTATAATCTCTTTTTGTACAATCTCTTTTTGAGAGGAAAATGAGATCCAGAGAGGTCAAGTAACTTGCCTAGTGCTACACAGTAAGAGGTAGAGCTGGGCTAGGACTATGTTGCTGTTTGAAACAATGGACCGGATCTGTACCTACTGAAGTGTTGACATGTGCATGATAATTGCTTAAAGCTGCAAAGAAAAACATCTGTTCCCGTTTTTAGAAAAAATGTCTGTTATTCTCTATAAGCATTATAGAGAAAGATTTAGAAATATATTCCTTAAACTCTGTCAAGAGTCGATGATGTTGGGAATTGGCAGGGCCAGGAAATACGGAAACGTCTTTATCTTATGTGCGTCTGTGCTATTTGTGTTTTTTAAATGATAACTAAATGCATAAAGGCAACAACAGCCAACAGACTGTGTGCTTGTTTCGGACAAACAGGAGAAGCTTGGTGCCGGTTCTTCCTTCTGTGCAATATGGGCGATCCCCTCCTTTGGGTTGTTCCCCAAGTCTTACACTGGCCACTCGGGCAGTGATGACTCTTCTGCTTCCTGTAGATAGTCCGTTTTCTCGCCGCCATATAAGAATAATCGTACAGAATGAGGGGGGTTTACAGGATGAAGTATCATAAGTGAAAACAAAGTTCAGACCGTGTGGCTTAAGGCATTGTGTCTTGGCTGCCAGGCACACAGTTGACAGGGGGTGTGCTGGATGCACTGGGGCTGTTAAGATCAAGCGACACGAATGTGATCTTCAGCTGTACAGCAAGAGTGCAATACTGAGAAGCGAGAGTTAGTCAGTTCTCACCACATCCAGACTCTGACTGGAGTCTTGACTTCAGTTCAGGATGGCATGCTTTAATATCAGAGACAGCGTCTTGCTTTGTTGCCCAGGCTGGAGTACAGTGGCATGAGCCTAGCAACAGCAACCTTGAATGCCTGGACTCAAGCGAGTCCTTAGCCTCCTGAGTAGCTGGAACTACATGTGTGCACCACCTTGACTGGCTGATTTTTAAAAATTTTTGTAGTGACAGGGTCTTGCTCTTTTGCCCAGACTGGTCTCAAACTGGGCTCAAATGATCCTCCTGCCTTAGCCTCCCAAGGTGCTGGGATAATAGGTGTGAGCCACCGCCCCTGGCCAGGATGGCATATTTTAAAGGAATGCAGGCAATGTGAAATCCTCTCCAGGTAGATTGATCAGTAGGGTCAAAGTTCCTGAAACCATGTCATATAAGGCACAGGTGAAACATATGGCAAGTATGCTGAGTGTTTTGCCAACTCCTAGCAATATTTGTCTCTCAGCAGTATTTGACACTCAAATGAGTGATGTCGTCTCAATATTGACTGACTGCTAGCTCTATGCCACATGAGCCATTAAGCATTTGGAATATAAGGATGAAAAGGTGTGGACTCTGTCTTCACGGGTTCTGAGTCTAGTAGAGAACACAAAAATATGCACAGCTATTTCCAACACCACATGAGAAATTCAACAGACCTCTAGTACACATGCAGCACAGAGAAATTATGATTAGTTCTTCCTGTGATAGTGGGAGATTGGAGAGTAAAGATTTCAGAGAGAAACTGAATTCTGAGCTGAGTTTTGGAAGTTTGCCTCAGCAAAGGAAACGAGAAGGGTGATAGAAGACAGCATGGCCTTGTTCAAGTGTTTGTAAAGGCGTCATGTACAAGAAGGACTGAACTTATTACAACCTCAGGGACTCAGGAACCAGTGGGTATAGGGTACTGGGAGAGACTGAGGCTCAGTTTAGAAATGTTTTAGTAGAGCTGTCTTCAAGGGTTTCTTTGGAATGTTGAGAGTGACCAGTCCCTGGACATGCTGAAGCAGGCAAGCCAACTGCCAGCAACGGTAGGGGTCACACACTGGATGGAGTGAGACATGGTAAGTGCTTGAGGGCCTAGGCTCCAGGATCAGCCTCCTAGGACTGGCACTCCGACGTATTGGCTCTGTGAGTTTAGCTAGGACTGTTATGAACAACAACAAAAAGTGCGCAGAACAGCACGTGTACTTAGTAGAGCTGCTGATAAATATGAATTGTTGTACAACTAGCTGTTGGGTGGCCCGTTGTACTCTTTAAAAGTTCTTTTCTCCTTGAGAAACTGACTTTCTAACTGTGTAACCGGGTGACAGAATTCTTGTGAATTAAGAAGATAATGAGAAGACAAGCAAAAAATTAAATTGTGATAGGTAACAATTCAGCGGCCAAGATGTGACTAAACCGCTGGTCTCTTCCACTAGAGATCATCTCTGCAACTGCCTTGGACTCCTTCCACCCGCCCATCCAGAGTGTCTTCAGGCACTGGCACTGCGTGACTCTCCGGCTCGTGTTTTTCTTTTTCTCACAGATAATGTGAACTGGCGAATAGGAATTTCTGCCCAAATTGGAGATATGGATGAAGATCGATTAATCGAAGAAGTCTTGGATAAGTTTGTTAATTGTCATGAGCAAACATATGAAGAATTTCTGAGCACTTTTACTCATCTTTCAAAAGGTAAAAGGGAGATGTAAACGCAGCTGTAGAGAGAAAGAATTCTAGTGTGAGTTTATGTTTTTGCTGCCTTTTCAGAAAGACTGTTCAGTGAGCATTCACTCCATCCCTGATGCCTCATGTCACTGATGAGGCAAGAACCAATGTCTTCATGAGTCCAAGAGTTGTGTGATGGCGTCAGAGCCATCACACTTGTTGACTAAAAATGACCTAAGGAATCATTTGGTGTAATCTTTTTATTTTTTAAGAAAGGCAAGTGCAAACAGCAGAGGTTGTTAAAAGTGTATTGAAAACTTAAGAAATCTGCCCAGTATAGAGTATGGGGTTCCACTGTGCATGTTGGAGCCCAGAGTCACCACTTACGGGGCCTGTGTACCTTGGGGAGTGGCACTGTGTAAAGAGGGCATGATAGTAGTACTTCCCTCAATGGCTGATGAAGGTTAGTTGACACGCTCCGTGGGGGACTTAGCACAATGACTAACACACAAGTACTTGCTGAGCGTTCAGGGTGGTGGTCGCTGTGATGCTGCTGCTGCTGTGGTTTTGCAGACTGAAGGTGCTAAGGTGAAGTCTGAGGGCCAAACCCGTGCTGTGTGTTTCCTTATATGTTTTGTTTGCATCATACAGTGTCACTAATTGGGCCAATATGTAGAAGCCGGGTAACTTTACATGGAAATCTTGACTTGTGGTTTGTTCTGGATCAAGGGAAAAGGTCTGTTCCTTCCCTCATGGCAGTATTAGCTGAGCTCTGGAGCCCTGCCCTATGGGCCACCTTGACTGTCACTCCCTCTGGCACTCATGCCGTCTAAACATGTGTCTTCACTGTCTGCTTCATTCACTTAAGCTGCTTCTGCAGGCACTGAGTTGTAATTCTTGTTCTAGGGTCTACCTCAGGTTGCTTGTCTTGCTCTTGATGTTGGTCCTTTGTAGGCCACTGATGCATGTCTTGAGGTCATTGGATTGCTACGTAGCAGCACATTAGACTCACCTGAGTTGCTTTTAGAACTCGTATATACCAGAGCCCACTCTAAAGCTCACCTGGGACCAAGGAGTCTGTATTTTATGAAGCCTCCTCTGGTGATTCTCACGTGTCCCTAAGACTGAGAACAGGAGTCTCGTAATCTCTGAGATCATGACATTCTTAAGACGCCTGACTTCATTCAAGTCATGTGTCCTAAGGAAATGTGACAGATGGATAGTTTCAATGAAGAAAAGGAAAGGTGATTTTAACTTGTTTCTTTTGTCATGAAAGAGAATTCCATCGATAACTGTTTTGTTTACATTTAAACAAAGAACAGAGATGTGATTTTTGTTTATACTTAAGGTAAGTGGAGAATTTAGGAAACAACTAGTTAATTTTGGGGCTTTTTGTGAATGATCTCTTTTAACATGATACGTAGATCAGGTTAATTGTGAGCATGGCCAAATCATCCTCTAGTCTATGAACTTGGGTTGAAGAAGATGCTTGCTCTCTCTAAGCCTAGTGATTTAGTTGGTGTTTTCTGGACCCAATGTGGCAGTATGAATGACTGGTGTGAAGTGGTGTAAATAAGGGTAAAATAGGCAAGATGAATGAATTTCAGTATGCCAGTGGCATTTTGATAATACAAATTATTTTGGAAATTGTTTGTAAGACTGACTTTATTTTTGTACCCTAGAAGAATAAAAAACCTTTTTGCAACGACTTTGATATTTTTAGGGGGTTGTATTTGTTTTGTGATAAGGGGCCTATTCTCTTTTCAGATTTCAGAGTATGATCATTGCATGCCGAGAGAGAAGCTTTTGCAGATGTGGTTACTTCAGTTTGAATTCAGTTTTGGACCTGAAATTGAACTGAAATAAATGATTACACAAGTCACATAAACTGCATCTCCAAGCACACTAGTATTTTTCCTTTCAAAATATCCTTAGGCGCCAGAGCACATTATAAACTAATGACCTGAAAAAATTCCTCTTAAAGCACAAAGAGTTGTGAATGCAAAAATGTGTCTTAAATCAGTCAGCCTCCTTTTTCCTCCCCTCTAAACATTTAAATGCTTTCTAAAAAACAGATAGGATTTTGGGATGCACCTAAGAGTTGAGTGATGGTAGCAGGATCAAGGTAAATGTGGTAAGTTTAAGAAAGCCACTGAAGTTCTTTCTTCCAGGCTCCCACTTCTCCCGCTTTTTTCCAGACCCTTCACTCGTGGCCATATGTTCAATTGTTTTGTTGATGTACACCGAGTATTTCTCTGTTAAAGTGGTTTTCACTGTACATGCTCACATACATTTTTTAAGTAAGTTTAGTTTCTCAAGCCCATTGCCATTTCCACTGATTGACTGTTCTGTTTATTTTTTATAATAGTTATATGCCAGAATGCTTATAGGATTCGTTTTCTTTCCAAGAGTGTTAAAAGGGTCAGTAATCCTATTAAAAATATTTCCCTGGAAAAAATTAAATTATAGCCTTATTGAAAGAAATTCACATTACTGCTTCAGACTCTTGAAAAACAGTTGGAAACAGTTAATATTGTAGTATAATTCTCATTATGGTACTTTTATATTGATCATTTTTAGTAGTTTTTCTATTTTAAAGCTACTTTAAGTTTTTAAACCATGGTACATATTGGATAATAAATACAATGCTCTATCAAAGTGTTTAAGGAGATATATTAATTAATAGTTTTAAGTAGATAATTATAATTGTATTCTCAGTAGTGTCTTTAGTTCAAGAGTGTAAGTCAAGTTGACGCAGTTTTTTTTACTATTGGTAAAGATAATATTGTTGACATTGTGGTTAAACATAAGGGGATAAGTTTTAATGTTTTGTGTCTCAGTTTCTTTGTGAACATAATTAATTTATAGTATTTCCTAGAATATCTATCCAAACAGAAAAAAAGACTTATCATTGTCATATTTCTGTCATTTTTTTAGCTTATAAAACACAGATATGAATACTTACGTTTGTTTTTTTGTTAATTAATTAATTTATTCATTCTGCGAATGTCTTGTTATGGTCTAGGTATCATTTTAGGTGCTGAGGATTCAGTAATAAATAAGATCTAGTTTGTGTTCTCAAGGACTCATAGGCCATCAGGAAAGATAAATAAAATATGCAAGCAGTAAACTACACTAATGCATGATGAGTACCACAGTGGAGAGAAGCAGAGTGCCCTGAGAGCCCATGGGGGGCCACCCAGTCTGTAGTGGAGAGCAAGCGATGAAGTCTACCCATCTTGGGATGCCTGAGGCGAGTCTGGGAGAACCACTGCGCTCAAACCTGCCTTGGGTCCTAAGACCTTAAGTAGAACTGGGAAGGTTTGACAGAAAAAAGAGCCTGTATTAGCAGATGTTAAATACCTCTGTGGGAGATGGTCCTTTTGGGTCATGGCCCCACTGATTTCAGTACTGATACGTGTGTGTGTGTGTGTGTATCTCCTTTAAAAGTGTGTGTGCGTATGTGTGTGTGTGTGTGTGTGTCCTTTAAAAGTAAGTCTTCAAGATGAGGATGCAGCTTTGCTTTAGTAAGGTTTAGAAGCACTTCTTAACTACTGAAAGAGCTGGCAATTTCTTTTAATTTTCTTCCTCACCAGGGTTACCATGTGATCCAATTTGGGAGGCATCTGCTCCCGCCTTTTAGAGTTACTGCTCATGTGGCTGTCTCACAGAAATTGTACAATTAAGAAGCCAGTGACTTAGAAATTGACATGAAATCTTTTCATCTCTATTTTGTTGCACATGGTCATGGTGGAGGGTTGCAGTAGTTATTTCCAGTTCTCTCTGTCTCTCACATGCCTAGGATCCAGCTTTCCAAGTGATTCTGTGTGTTTCTATATTACCACATAATAACAACTTTCTATTCACTGCCGTATCTGTCTACTTTAACCTGTTTTCCTCTGTATAGATTAAAGATTTTATTTCAGATTTTGTTGTGTAATTTCATTTCCAGTTTTCTGATTCTCATTTCACTTGCAATACTTTGTGCTTTTAGCATTTTATTGTTCTTTTAGCATGTCTTTAAAAAAAATTCCTGTCAACTCAACGTCTTTTTCTCTTCATTCTTATTCATAGTTGAATTAAATTCTCCATTAGGTAGAACATTGTGCACTTGAATGTTCAGGAAAATGGCCATGCCATGGCTTTATGAACTGATGGTGGACTGGCCTTTGATAGTCCCAAACTCTTGGAGTTTCAATTGAGAAAGTTTCAGATTTTCCCAGATTTGATAACATCCTCTAATCATAGAGAGTTTGACCTGTATTTATTGACTTTTAGTTATTGAAGGAGTGATGCTGATGGTTTTCCACCATTACAGATTTCAGGAATGTGTAGTGACCATGTGTTTTCTGTTCCTATAGGCCCACACTGTCTAACCCAGTAGCTACTGGCCACATGTGACTATTGAGTACTTAAAATGTGGCCAAGTGCTACCAAGGAACTGACTTTTACATTTGATTTATTTTTAGCTAATTTAGATTTAAATTAATTTTGATATTCACTTTATTTATTGTAAAAATCTAAAAGGTGTTTGGGACAATTTGGGTTTGCGAATCCAGCTTTTAAAATGGAAAAGCTATAAATTTTAGGGCTGGCTGCCATGACTCATGCCTATAATCTCAGCACTTGAGGAGGCTGAGGTGGGAGGACTGCTTGAGCCCAGGAGTTCAAGACCAGCCTAGGCAACATAGCTGGATCTCTTTTCTACAAATAAAATAAAATAAAATAATTGGCTAGGTGTAGTGGTGCATGCCTCTAGTCCTAGCTACTCGGGAAGCTGAGGTGGAAGGATTGTCTGAACCCGGGAGTTGGAGGCTCTGGTAAGCTGTGATCATGCCACTGAACTCCAGCTTGGGTGATAGTGAGACTCTAACTCAAAAAAAAAAAAAAAGTAAATTTTATGAAAATAAATTTTATGAAAAGTATTTTCAGTGAACATTTGTTATCTGAATTGAGACATAAGTATAAAACATACACTGAATTTTGAAGACATACACAAAATAGAATGTGAACATCTCAGTAATGTG